TTTCATGGCTTTTACAATGCTAAGGGAATTCGAATATATTGCACTTTGTAGTTTTAACTGCATAATGTGTTAACGACCACTAATATCGCATAAGCCTCTGTTGTGAAGACACTACCATTAGGGTGCAAAATGCCGGCTCTCAAACAGGATTGGCCGACTTGTGTGCAGGACACACCATTTTTGCAGTCAAGAAGACACAGAAAGAACAAGAGCAGCAAAAATCCCAGTATTCGAAAATAGGAAGTTGCGTAGGACTGTGGCAATACCGTAATTACTCGAATCTAACGGGCACCTTTTTTCCGGTTGAGCGAGTTCATAAATCGCATGCGCGTTAGAATCGAGTACGAACAAAAAAATTACGGCCAATCTATTGCCATCCGCAAATCTCAAATGGCCGCCCCCTACGTGCGTCGGCATGGCGCGTCGTCCATTTCTGCCTATGTGTTTCTCATGTGCGGCACTTCGTACGTGTGCTGAGGAGTTATCTAGTAGTGCATTGGCATCGACGGCGTGGAATGGCCGACTCCAAAAACTCGAGTGCACCACGATGCCCCTTTTAAAAGAAAAGTCATCGCGTGTGCAGAAACGGACGGAAATCGGGCCGCATCGCGGTCGTTCGGAGTTCCCGAAACGTGTGTGCGGGACCGGCGGAAACAAAAGCAGACAGCAGGGTCGGTTTCCGTAAATTAAAGAGCTGCTCGGTGAGTATGTGCTTTAGCAGCGAGCAGCACAGCGGCCTGTGACGGCAGAACTGCTCCAAGTGCGGGCTATGCAATTAGTCTTAGAAAAATGTCTAATGCGGAGCCAGTTTAAGCGAGCAGGTGCTGGCTAACTAACTTTATGAAGAGGAAAGGCTTTTCCCTCCGAAGGGGAACATACATATGCGAAAAGTTTTGCGGAGGAGTACGATGAAAAGCTTCACAGTTTTCAGAGGTTCGTCCTAAACTTGCGGTGCAACAACGACTACCTGCTTGGGCAAATCGGGAATGCCGATCAGACGCCTCTTTACTTCGACATGCCTGGCACCACAACCGTCGAGAAGAAGGGGGCGAAGCAAGTTCGCGTGCTGACATCGGTCCACGGTAAAACTACAGTGACGGCAATGATCTGTTACACGTCAGATGGGCACAAGCTTCGCCCGTACCTCATATTTAAATGGAAGACGCTCCCGAAAGGAGTCGTTTTTTCGAGTGGTGTGATCATGCGGGCCAGCGAGAAAAAATGGGTGCGCGTTGCAATCGATGTCTTACGTTTTTTTTTTTTTTTTTTCGCGGTGGAAATCGGGTGCGTGTTACAATCGAGGGCGCGGTAGAATCGAGTAAGTACGGTACTTTACTTTCACGACATCTATAGTCTAAAAAAAAGATTAGGGGTGATTTCGGAGTGAAAGTGGTTTTTACAGCTCCCCGTCAGTTGTCACTTCGCATAGTTGGTAAGAAAAATGTGAAGGAAACAAGTGCGCGCACAACTAGGCACAAAAACAAATTTGTGGGTTGTGTTTTAAAAGTGGTGTACGTAATTCCACTTACATGTGGAAAGAAATACGTAGACCAGACAAGCAGGTAGGTGCCTTAACAAAAGACTGCGAGAGCACTACATCAATGTGCACAAATCGGTGCAAGGCTACCTAGACTAGCATTGTCGAGATTGCGGATGCCAGCCAGATTTCCGTAAAACTAAGGTGACAGCTAGGCACAATAATCAGATGATGTGCGAAATAATTGAGGCATTCGTGATTGTCCACCTGAAAGATGACTGCATCAGTATGGCTTCTTTGACAGGAACCAGAACGGAATGATGTATCTTAAACCACAATGCAAGATGTGTGATAGTTGTGTATTACCTCAGCATGACTAGTCATTTGAATTGTACTGTATAAACAGTTTTTGTGATTCATTTTTGCAAACCTTTTTTGTAACCATGAAAAGTGATTGCATAAAAGCATCACGTTTCTGTCCATTAAACTCGGTTCAAAGTTTGCACTTGTGTCCGTCTAGTTCTTCATCCCAAGTGTTCGTCCTTTAAGCAGTGCGCAATAAGGTAAACTTCTATGCAAGTTCATCAGACACTTCTTACTACTTCCCGTAGTGCGTGACAGCACATTTAGTGCATTCAGTGCTTTAAGACTTGTTTCTTGAATACTTGATGTGTGGTGGTAAGGTTAGCTTGGCATCTCAGATTAGGCCTAAGGATTTATATTTAGCAGTTATGGACAAACTCTGATCACGCAGTTGGATGTCAGGTTCGGGATGACTGCCTCTCTTTTCAAAGAATAATACATGTGCTTTTTTTTTTGTGGATTCAGTCGAAACTTGCTATCCTTGGCTCATATAGAGTCCTTGCTGCACCTGGCGCTCACACATTACAATGAAACCTCATTAGTACACATCTCCCAGGAACGGCGGCATAACTGCACATTAAATGTACTATGCATTAATCAACAGCTACAAATTTGCATCTCCTGATGTGCGTTATCTCTACTAACAAAGGAATAAATACAGTGCCACAATAGATATTGTCTGAAGTGCCCGCTCTCCCAACAAACATACACAAAGCCATTTCTTTCATTCTGATAAAGTGGAGAAAAAATTGCCCGCAGCTTCCTTCGGTGGAACACCGAGGAGGATGCGAAGCACACGACGTAGTCGGCATAGTCGGTGCCCTTTCCAGACGTATCGCAAAGAACCGACAACGCTTTGGAGTTGTTCTGAATGTTGCCGATCCGAGTTAAGTTGTTATCGAACCAAAGACGATCACACACCTTGCAGGTGTGGCCGAAGCTTCGGTCGAGGAAGTCGCGCTTGAAGCGAGCGTTGGGCGTGGCATACTGCTTGGCGCGCCACGCCGCTACCTCGGCGCGCTTGCGCTCGCGGGCAGCATCGGGATCGGCCTTCTCGTCGCCGACGCTTGCACTCGGCTTCCCGTTTTCGAAAGTCCGGGTCCTCTTGTCGACGCTTACGTTTCAAAGCGGCCGAATCCGGTGCTGCTGCTCGACGCTGACGTCTCTCAGCGGCTTCACGTTCTCTAAGTTGAGCATCTTCCGCTCGACGCCGACGTTTACGTTCGGCGTCGCGAGCTCTTCTCCGCGCTGCCTTGTCTTCGGACGACGACTTGGTTGCGGTTCCGCCAACACTTTGGCCGGCGCTGGTCGAAGGGACGTCGATCATTGCGACCTCGGACGTCGACGCGCCGTACAAACCAAACGACGAGCGGCAACTGAGCGAGCGAGCACCGACCTTGAGTATATATACAGCGCGACGGCGCATGCACTGTCAGCTGCCGATGTTCTCGAAGCGCGACGGCGCATGCGCACGCGTCAGCTGCCGATGTTTTCGAAGCGTGACGGCGCATGCGCGCTACATTATACAGCTAGCGAATGTTCGTGAAGAGGAGAAGCGCACGCGGTGTGTAGAGGAGGAAGGGTGCACAGATGATGGAGGAGTGAAGCGCGCGCGGTGTGTAGAGGAGGAAGGGATGCACAGATGGTGGAAGAAGGAGGAGGAAGCTTGCGGACGGCGCCGCACTACAAGCCTCTAGTATTAATGCTCCGCATCTAAAAATTCCGTAACTCTCCCACAACCATCTGATCTCATGCAGTGACAACGCCAAGTACCATTCCGAAACTACACAAGGTCTGGAATACGCCCCGTAGGATAGTGGCAGAACAATCGGCTGTCCACGATGCATGTGTTCCGCGGTCTGCTTCTAATAAAAACTAATGCAATTTTTTTTTTTTTCAAAATGCTGTATGTATGGTCGCAGAGAGCCAAATAGTCTGCTGGCTAGTTGTGTGCAGCGCTTCGCCTAATCGACACATGCTGTGACTGCCAATCCATTTGCTGTAGCATTCACCCACTCCTCTTCAGACCATGCACTGATACGGCGAGTAGCCTGCTGGGTTAACGCTGTGATAAAGAGCTCTCTGCAAGCGATACCTATTCCACGATGCTCAAGCTGTCCTGGCAATGGATAGAGGCACATTTAGGCAGGCACTTGATCACAGCGTGCAGTACTGTTAAAACAGCACTACGCTTGCGCGTGTTAGAGTCGATACAGCATGGTTTCTTTGTGCCCGTGATCTGCAATAATAAACTCTATGTCAGCGAGCCGCTTGTGTTTCTGTAAAGTGGTGTGCGCTTGAACATTGTTCCACAAGAAGGCCGCAGCGATTGGCAGCCCAGCACGTTCAGGTATTTGCCTATAAAAAGTGTGCAGTAGGCTTTAAGTGGCACTACGCCGCAAGTGTGCCTGAGCAGATAGCTGTGGATGTCTACTGTGATAAGGCTTTTGTCGGCGGTAAGTCACACTGGCGGGTTCGTTGTTAGTCGCCAGCTCCCTTTCATTTTTTTCCCTATCATTATTGGCAAAGGCATCGCCACAATCGCACAGAACTCTCAATCTTTGATCAGTCTATCTTCACACTTATCAAAATGATGAAAAACCACTTGTGGCATATTGTGCCGTCTGCAAGTTCAGTGGAGCAGTAAACTTTGACTGGCACAAAATGTTATTGGGGTATGCACTTGGTACGCAATACCCAGAATCCCTTCTCCCCTGACACGGCAATGCCACACATGGCTGCATGTAAGAGGGAATCGAAACCGCTCTCGTTCGCTCGGGTCCATGGCGATGCTACACACAAAACGCCTGCTTGCGCAGACTTTCCTACGGGACAGCTTTATCATTGAAGAATTATGCAACCATTAGAGCACAAAGCCACAAAATAAAAACAGCACTCATTTCTTTGAATTTAAGATTAATTAGCTCTCATGCTGATACCCTACTGTTTAATGAGTAGCCCAGATGATGCAGCCACCACCGCAGAAAAGTGCTAGTTCCAAGTTCGAATCCCAGACTCGGGAATTCATTTCATCATCAACTCAGGTGCTTTCTTTTCAACATGCCCATACGAAATTTCTTAGAAGCATTGGGACAACAATTCTCCACTTTATGAACCCATTACGTTGAAGAAACCTTGCACATCATGTCATCTAGCTTACCATAGGTAGAGCAGCCTGTGATGGCGGTGGGGGGGCACGCATCAGGCTATGGTAGAGTGTGAAGGCGTCGGTCAGCTGCCGACTTGCTGCCACCAGAGATGCATGCCGCCGGTCAATGCGTTCCAGCTCCTGCTCTATCAAGGGGCCCATTCCTGCACAGCGCTCTGCAATACCACAAAGACTGCTGCAATCCTTGGTCGCGCTCAAATGTTTCATTTCATGACAGGGAATCATTTACTGAGCAATTTGGCAATTTACCATATAAACGCGTGTAAGGGCCGCATCTTGTTTTTCTCATGTACATATTCGAAAAAAAAAAAAATCCGCGTAAGGGCCACACTTTTGTTGACCCACACAGACTCAAAATGCAGCGCGCATGCGACCTTTTAAACATTTTCAATAGATGACGCGAAAAAACCGACCCCTCATCATCATTATATTGTACAGCGGCAGCAGAACGTCACTAGTATATATTGCTCTACCACTTGAGCTACCATGACAGCTATCCTCCCTGCCACTTTATTGCGTATCTATGTCAATTTAAACGTGGGAGTGTCAGTCAGCGCCACTAGTAGCCATGGCCGAGAGTGTGGCACACTCTTTATGAGCCTGCCTGGCGTCACGTAGCACGTGAACTTATTACTAACTGGCAGCTGACCAATAGTCCCTCGTATATAACCTAAAGGCACCAAGTCTGCCAGTACGAAACCCTAGTTAATGAATAAGAGAAACAAGTGTATACTTAAGGGCTAGTTTTTCGTGTTTTTATACAATATTAATGAGATCTAACAGACAATAATGTCAAAGAAGGTATAGGGGAAGTTATTAGGCCAATTGTAATGTAAATGAGAAGAAAGAAAAGTGGGTGAAAAGATAACTTGCCGTGGGCAGGATTCGAACCTGCGACCTTCGAATAACGCGTTATTACCCAATATACCCAATAAAGTGGCTGGCGGGATAGCTGTCGTGATAGCTCAAGTGATGGAGCTTCGAACGCGTCAGTCATATATTTCATCATCCATTGATGTCACAGTAATACCAAATTTGGTATATGTGGAGCTAACAAAACGGCCGTGAGCGCATCATGAAGGGCCCAATATACTGCAATGTAGCGTTGACGCACGCGCACGCTGGGCATAGCGACGCTACGTAAGCAAAAACGCGAGCACTCTATGGTCTGACGTCAGGCGCGACCAGTGTCCTTCAGCGCGGCCTGACAGCAACCGGCGCGAAATGCGATATGCTGCCTTCCGTGCCGATGCGTTACCCAGACAACACTGCGTCTCCCTCTTTTCATGATGGAGGGATGCTGGACGCGCTGAAATGCGCATGCGCCAAAGCAACGCAGCGTGGCGCGCGCCTGTGAGTATATGACAGGAACGGCATCTGGCATGGCAACGCCGCTGTGAGGCAACGAAATGAAGTGGGCGAGCACGCGCACCATGTCACGTCGAAATGTATTGGCGCATTGACTGTGGCATGTAGTCATATTCTCACATGACACGCATCTCATGATTATCATGTTTGCACCAGTCAATAACCTTCGTCATTCATTGACGTCACGTAATACCAAATTTGGCATATGTGAAGCTAGCGAAACAGCCGCGAGTGCACCATGAGTGTGGCATGTAGTCATGTTTTTACATGACACGCATGTCGTGATTATCATGTTTGGATGTGTCATTTACCTATGTCGTCTGTTCGCGTCCCGTAATAATGAATTTGGTATAAGTAAAGCTAGCGGAACGGCCGCCAGCGCATCATGAGTGTGGCATGTATTCATGTTACATGACATGCATATCATAATTATCATGTTCATACCAGTCGCATACTTTCGTCATCCATTCACGTACCGTAATACCAAATTCGGTATATGTGACGCTAGCGAAGCAGCTGCGAGCACATCTTGAGTGTGGCATGTAGCCATGTTGTTACATGACACGCATATCATGATTTCCATGTTTGAGTCTGTTGCTTTTGTTCCCCATGCAATCATATCATACCCCACCAGTTCTGCAACATGCCATGTGAATGAAACCACCGGAAGAGCTGCAATACCATGAATTGTAAATCATGACATTCATGACAAACATGTCAAGATTTTCATGTTATGACTAATCAAATATATTGTTTATACAGTCATGTTATGCTATTCCAAGTTTAGTATTGATACCATTATTGAAACGGCCAGGAGAGCTAAAAGTCGTAGGCAGGCTAGATAGATACACTCAATGTCGCTGAAATTTGCTAAGAAATGCTTCGCATTTAAAAAAACTCAAGTAGAAAGATTTCACTGATGTGGTGCTTGTATTAACGAAATTTTACTGCACGTTATTCGTGTCATGGATTCAATGCATACGTTCATACTCTTCAGTCAAGTAGTGATAAGAAACAGTGATGTTCCTAACTACGCCAAAAAACTCCCATTTCGAGAAATAAAAATTCCCTGTTTTGGGCCCTTTCCCTGCACATTATTTGTGTTTTGCGAGCACCCCTTCACACACGTGTACACACAAATGCTTGTCCGTGACGTGTTTGCGACTATTGAATTCAAGACTAGTGTCTATGCTCTTGAATAACAAAGTCAAGTGCTCTAAGTACTGCATCACAAATAGTGCTCATAGAGTCCACACCAGCAGTACTCTAGAAGATCGTTCAAATAAATATCAGACTAATCCCAAGGGCTATGCTTGCATGCTACACTGTGCCCGAACTGATTGCAGTAGCCAAAGCCGTGCTCTGATGGCAATAAATTGGTCTTCCTTGATAAATATAATCCTTTCCGAAATTCCTTGCAATATCACAAAGATTCCATTTTTCCCTTTAGTCCAAAATGATCGCTCGAAATTTCCTGAAAAAGGGAGAATTTCCTCCACGGAACATCCCTGATAACCAATCTACAAAGGAGTACCCTAAAGTAACCGGACCAGTGCTGCATTGAGCGGATCATTGGGAGGATTGCCACACGCATTTGTTATTTTCGTTTTTGTTGTATTCGGTTCACGCCTACAAAGACTATAAGCAATGCTCAGCGCAAACTGCACCTGCAGTGTGTTCGAGAAGCTTCAGGATTGTACCACATAGTTTTGTTAAGATTACTTGCATGAAACAAACAACACATTCTTCTGGAACTTACGTGGCCGCTAGCGATATTGCTGGAATATTCAAAGGCACATGTACAAATGCCAACGAGCGTCACCCTCTTGTCGGTTGATAGAAGGCCGACGCTTTGTTCGGCATTATTAGTGCCCGTATGTATCCCTGTAATTTGACTTCCATTTACAGGCTACAAGTTCTGCCAAATAAACAGCTTATTATGATCAATATATGGTGTTTATTGGCACAAGGGCCATGAGATGGCTAAAGAGCGCCAGTACACGAGACAAAAGATGTGAGCAATGGGTATGTTGACTGGTTGCATACGGGCCTCAAATTTCTCATGCTACAGGCAGATAAAATATACAGCTGTTAAAATCATAAGGGTGACATAAAATATGCAGTGTGAAAGTGAGGAACTAACGATTCTGGATAATAATGATATAGAGATGTGATTGCACACAGCTGCCTCTGTAATGCCTTTTTTTCTAAGGGCCACAAGACCCGTGCTTTGTAGCGTATCTACCGCAGCAGCGACCTTTCTTCAGAGCTCCAGCTGCAGATTGCCAGGATAGATGACGTGAAAGTTATAAACATCTTGTAAAAATACGAGCAATGACTGATGTTTGAAGAAAGGATGCCTACCGATGAACATCGATGAATGAAGCCATATTTTGCTCTCGTTAGGGTAATGGGTAGATCTTTTTTCTTGAAGTGTGTAATTCCTTGCATTGGATTAAAATGTGGATAGCTGTAAGTGGTTCCTCACATAATAGTGAGTAAAGTGGGACAAGAATAGGGTATTTGCTTTTTTTCAAAAGATTTGAGAGCTTTTACAATGCTTAATGAATCGGCAAATAACTGAGGCAATTAGAAACCTCTAACCAAAAATGTATTCAGAAACCCAACGTTTCGAAGCCACACCGACTTCTTCCTCATGGGTGAGAAAGCCAGAGATGCGCAGCGCTTATATATGCTTGCTCGCCTGACTTTTTCAGCTTTAATTGTTTGAAATGTTTGACCGCCGCAAGTATTGCGTAAACTTCTGTGGTGAAGATGCTTGTATCAGGATGCAGTAAGCCGGCATCCACAAAAGATGCCGACTGCTGCGTACTACACAGAATTGTGAGACTTTGAGGCATCTGTAAAAAAAAGTCAAGACAATTGTATTCGTGCTCAAGCTCCAGGAAGTATGTGCAGATGTGTGTCTAAGGTGTGTGTTTCGTAACTTCGACAAAGGATACATCCCATTCTATGAGCTGCCATTGCTACGATGGCAGATACATAGCAGGAGCCATTAGAGATTCATGAAGTGGCACTCCCAATTTCTCAGAGAGGCCTCTCACATGAAGCGAGCAGGGCTGTCGAAACGAAAAACAAGTATAAAACAGTGTGGAACTGAGCAAGTCATTGATTGTGTAATGTGAGGGGTGCTTCTCGTCTGCGTTAGCTTTGAGCTTATACACAAACGACACATTCTCTGCAGCTGCAACGACCACTTGTTTGATTCTACATACAGGCTTTCTAAAGGACTAGTGTGAAAAGTACCCGTAGAAAGACGGATGCATAAATGATGGACTGAGTCAAGCATTTTTAAAGTGCATGGTGTCGCTGACTGGTAGGTTATTTGTTTCCAAGAAATATATTAGTCCATGGTTAATCATCTTCACGAAACGCTTACAGATGCAACTTGCTAATGCAATTGGCCTGTAACTCACTACAGAGAACGAATCCTCGCTGTGCTTCAAAATTGAAATCACAATAGCCTCTTTCTAAGAAACAGGAATCTCACTGGAAAACCACATGGCATTGTACAGGGAAAGGAGAGCTGTGCGCCACTACGCCGCCACCGCCAGTTTTTGCTTACGCCGTTCGCGCCGCCACGCAATAACTGCAGCATGCTGCCATTTGTCTTATTTTATCCCGAGTGAGGAATCTGGTGATAGAATGCACCACTTGACCTTCTTTTCTGCAGGTTTAAGATTTTTCAGAGTGGGCATTTGCGATGTCATGACTGCTCTCTTGTGTCAATGTTTGCATGCCCTGTCTATATAAGGGCCCTAAAACA